AGATGCACTGATTCAGTTGAAATTTTAATTTTGTCACACTCTCTTTCTCCCTGATCCAGCACAGGGAGCCCCCTCCAGCCTACAGCCTCCATCACTTCCAGGTTTCCCAGGTCTCCTGTTCTGTACAGCTTTAAATAGTGAAGTGCAAGTAACTCAATGTTTGAGCAAAGGATCACTATGCCTAAGCTGAGCTCCCCCCTGCTAAAATCTTATCTGTGCTCTTCTTTCCTGGCCTCCATGATCTGTGTCCACCAAGCCTCCCTTGCTGCCAGTGTCAACAAATACATTGGCTCCTTATGTGTATTCCCAGTGACCCCAGAGTCTCCTGTGTTACCCAGTCACCACTGAGCATCTTTTGCTCGCCAGTGATTCCTATGCACCCCCACGACCCCAGTGCACCCCACAGCATCCTGTGATATCCTGTGACTCCAGTGCACACCTGTGTGTCCATGAAGCTTCAGCTGTACTCCTCTAATCCCCTTGAATTTCTCTCTCTTTGTGGATATGGACCTCAGTATGTGACATTTATCACTTGATCCTCTCATGTTTTTACCTTTTCAGGAATATAACATTATAACAATAATTAGCAAAATCTTAACACATTTCATGGTGGTTGGATGAAGCTAACATATGGATAACCATAAGCATTTTCAACATTGTAAAACAAGTCCAGTTGAGTGTGAAGAACCACTACTAGCTATACCATGACCGGGATAAATGAGAACCTTCACATAGATTTCAGAGTAGTGGAGAGGATGATAATGGTTAGGATCAGAGTTGGTTGATTGAGTACTTACAGTCCAGGTTCCATCTTTTCCAGTCATATCACAGTACACAGGTACGGGTGTGGAGAGTCCCCCGGGGTAGATGAGATATACTCCATCTGTCTTCAGACCTTGAGCCCACACATCGGAGCAGTCATGCGGGTGACAGCTATCAGAACAAATATTAACTGGAAACAGAAGAATCATGAAGAATTGAAGTGGACTTCAAACGGAACTCAAGAAGTGAAGACTTGCTGTGTTATATGGAGCATTAGTAACATTTATTGTGCCTGAGCAGAAACATCTTCCTGAAAGCAGAAAGCTCAACCTGGTTTGTCATTTTTGGCTTTACATACATTTCACATAATATCCCCCCTGAGATACTGTGGGGGCTTCAGCTATAATTATGAAATGGAATAGGAAAACAAAAGTTTGGGCTGGATTTTAAAACGTAACAAGCAAAGACAGGAAATGATGGTGGGTGTTAGGTTTTTCAGAGATCATTTAGTCTAATTAATATTTGAAGATAGTGAAGAGACCAAATCATAAATATCTAGTTTCTCGTACTGTTATCTTGGTTCCTTGGCACCTCCTGGGCAGCATGACAGGCTCTGTGTATAATGAGGAACAGAGTGAAGGAGGTGAGAGAGATCCACATCTTCCACCTGCTGAGAAAAGACATGATTAGTAATTTCTTACCCAGAGTCTGATAGCAGACTACAAGTCTCAGCAGTCTCTGACCTTTGCTTTCCAAAAAATTGAGGCTTTGCACACCTAAGGGCCCTATTTCAAAAAATATTCTACATCCTATAGCTATTGTGAAAAAATACTCCGGAGTTGAGAGGGACAGCTAGCTCTGCTCTGCTTGGGTTGTCACCGAGTGTCAGCGGGTCAGCCACCTATAGCAGCCAAGAGCCAAGTGGGCAGACATGAGCTGCTGACTTGAGTCCATTGTAATGACAGTAAAAATGAACAGGAATAACTGTACATACTCACCAACCACACAGCACAAAGTTCCTTTTCTCAACTTACATGAGACTCTGTGAGTGAGATGGTATGTTGTGTTGTGTCCTGGTTCTGGGTCTGGACAGTTGCTGTGCTAACACACTTTATATATACAGTGTGATCCTGTATGTCACAATAGGACTATTGTGTTGGGACACCACACCTTCAGAAAACGCATCCTTTCTCCGGATACATGACTTGGCTATTACATCCGTGTTACATCCGTGTCCTGTTTACTCTGATGTGCATATGAAAGGACAAAAATTAGATTTACAATTAATAAAATAATAAAAAAATTATTTAACGATCAGCAATGGTATTCCGCATGCCAACTAGACCACAGAGTAGCACCAGAATGCAAGAAACATCATACAAATTGCCGGCCCAATGGTGTGTAGACTACGTAGACTATATCCTTCTGCTTCAGCTTTGTGCTGGAAATGCTCCAATGAGAAAGGAACTGGTGGGAATGCAATGGGAATAAATCTTTTCAGGGATTCATTCACAGAAACATTGGCCAACATTTCAGGCAATCCTATTACACTAATCCCAGAACTTTGTCTCCTACATTTAAGAGACCAACTCAATGAAATATAAGAATTTTCCTACTCCACTCCTGATAAATTCCACAAATGTCCCAATCTTTCAATGGAAACTCTAGCCCCCGCCCTACTGGAAAAGGTCAACAAAACCAACTCTTTTCGCAAGATGGAAGAGGATAGAAACGGACACAATGACAAACTTTCTGTCTACTTGATTGGCTTGGGCACAACTATTTGTGTTCAAATACAAATCATTCATAGGATCCTGCTGATGCCCTGACTATCATCTTCACCTCCGTCCATTATCGCCATCTCCCACCACAGCCCCCACAGATGAGCCTGTGAGCAACATGCTAATGAACCTACCCCAGACACGTCCCCCTTCTACCTACATTCTCTTTCCTCTGACACTTTCTACCCCTTCTTTTTGCTTTATATCTTACTCTTCACTATCTTATTCTTTTTCATTTGCTAGATATTAGTCATCTGGAGCCGCCCAGCCACCTCACATCTGATTGAGGAGTTTTTGTGCTCTATTTGAGAATCACAAGCCCAGAGTGTTTTTCGTGCTGCCTTGCCCCCGGCCGACTCGTGTCTTGTTGCTTTGCCTGTTTCTGCTGTTGCTGACCACTGCTTTGGAATGCAGATTTCTCCTTCTGAATGCTGCCTTCCCAGAACCTCACATTGGATAATAGATTACTTTATTTTAACTCTGCCTCCCCTGAACCTTGCTTTGGATAATGCATTACTCTCACTAAACACCGCCTGTCCCGAACCTTGCCTTGGATTATGGATTACCAACCTTCTCCGCATCATCTACCACCCTTACTTGAACTCTCCCGCTGATGGTCCTGGCAGCTGTGAATATAGTGCTCAAGTCATCGAGGCATCCAAGTACAGGAAAGCATACTAGACTTAAGGGAAAGGTGGCTGCTATAGGTAAAGCCATGTCATCACACTATTTTTGCAGAGCAGGATGCACACCACTTCCCTTACACCTTCCCTTCCAGATTTTGACATTTTACACATGTGATCTCACTCCGGATCATCCACCCATCCTCCCACCTAAAGACCGTCTTGTTGCACCTCACCCCCATAACCCCCCAAACGCACATACATCTCTCCCACTTTTCCTTCCCCCGGCACCCTCTTGAGCACTTCCCTAACCCCACTTTCGCCTATTCCCCCTTTGTTCTTGCAGCCTATCCCCTCACATAAACGTTTTCCTTGACATCACCACACCCCCCACACACCCATTAGAAGTTATGAGAGTTTATATACAAAAAAAAAAAAAAGACAATGGACGCCTCGTATTATTGTTACCAATTTGGACAGCAAACCTCTTAGAATACACAGAATAATGATGTTATGGAAAAATAGAAGACAATCATGGAAGAATGTAATATATTGTCCCACCAAGCCCCGGACAAGCAATGTATATACACGGCTGTGTTTGTACTTGTGTCATGTCCCAAATAAAGAATTAAACTCTAAAACTTTTCTCAATAATCCATATCCATATGCATCCGGATCAAAGAAATAAACATTGAACATCAAAATATCTCTTTATCTCTGATGCCCAATGGCAGGCTGCCATCAGGATATTGTACGCTGGCTCTAGTTCTCATGTTCTGACCACTGCGTATTACAACAGAAAATTCTGCATAGGTGGTACCATACACCATATAAACTAGCAAAATTTGGCAAGGGTCACTCACCATTGTGTTGGAGACACTGCAACGAGATTGGCTCATTGAGCCATGTTTTCTGGAATTGTAAGCCTGTTAGATCCTTTTGGAGCCATATCTTCAAGCTAATGTCAGAACTTGCTAGGAGCACGGTAGCCCCTACGGCAGTCTCAGCCTTGCTACATTTGTCCATAGAGGTTCTCCCGCCCCGAGCTACAACAGTCCTCTTGCATCTCCTCATAGCAGCTAAGACGCTGATTGCCCAACATTGGAGAGACCCCTCCCTACCAAATTACAATGATGTCATCCATAGGTTGAACCTCTAATGTGCCTAGGAACGTATGTTTGCTTTAAAAAGTGCTAAATTTGAATCCTACCTTACAGCATGGGAGTGCTGGATTAAACACCCTATGTATAAAACTTTAAAATGTTGACTATTTTCATGTATATCGTGCACACTATTCTCCCTGTACATGTAATCATACCTGTCTTTTCTTTTCGGTTGCTTGTTATTTATTGTCTGCTGTCTTTTTTGTTGACAAAAACCTAATAAAATAATTGAAGCAGAAAATATCTCTTTAGATTTTTTTGTGCAAACACTTACAGTCATTGTGTTTCTAAACAGTTGGTACCAACTGTCTGAGCTCCACTTCCCTGAACTTCCCGTCCAGTACAAGATCACAAGGGAGAGATCAGTCTCCAACAGCCATCCATTTACTAGACTAGAGAAGGGAGGAGGAAGAAGCAGGGGATAGACTTGTCCATCTATACCTGTGTGTTTGTGGAGACACACAGCTTACTAGCATGCGTGTCTTACTACTACTTACTGCTACTATGCAAAGGTGGCTTCATGGGACCCAGCAAGAGAAAGGAGCCACCCAGAAATAGGATAGGATCAGGGCCAGTGCTCAGGGGACCACCTGATTCTGCAGCAAACTAAAACTAAACATCAAGGACAGGGGCGTAACTAGTGACCTCAGGGCCCCTGGTGCATGAATCCATGCAGGGCCCCCCGAAGAAAAAGATTAAAACACAAAACGTACAAACAGCGCTCTTGTAATGGTAATAAGGGGGTGAACAGTGTATGACCCTAGATCGTGTGCAGCCCTGAAACCCAGGAGGAGTGCCTGTGTATCTGCAAACTTGAAACAAAAAAACCCAAAAGGGCGCAACACTGGGTGGGCTAACTGACCGGGTCGGGAGACCCAGGAAAAATGACAGGAAAATAGTGTGACAATGGGTGCACTGGGCGAAAAACCAATGGATAGCTGAGGAAAAAGAATAAGCACTTACATTTTAATTCACGGGACCAGAGGATGGACGGCCGGTGCAAAGGATCATCCGTGGTGTCTACCTGGAATTGGTGAGCCAGGGGATGTGCATCCACACGGGGAGAGGAGGCTGTGGGCGAGGAAGAAAAGGGGGGGAAAAGAGCAACCACAGGAATGGGGACTCAGTCCGTGGCCCGCTGTGTGAGTCCGTGTGGATGCACATCCCCTGGCTCACCAATTCCAGGTAGACACCGCGGATGACCCGATCCTTTGCACCGGCCGTCCATCCTCTGGTCCCATGAATTAAAATGTAAGTGTTTATTCTTTTTCCTCAGCTATCCATTGGTTTTTCGCCCAGTGCACCCATTGTCACACTATTTTCCTGTCATTTTTCCTGGGTCTCCCGACCCGGTCAGTTAGCCCACCCAGTGTTGCGCCCTTTTGGGTTTTTTTGTTTCAAGTTCGAAGAAAAAGATTAGATACTTTAAAGAAAAAAAAAGATTTTAGACAAAAAAAATTCAAACCAAACCCCGTCCTCTTCCATGTCCCCAGCTTCCCCACTTCTCGTCCCCAGCTTTCAGCTCCCTGACCCCACACTCTCCTTTCACAGGTCCCCTTCATAATCTAAGCTCCCCATAACTCCCTCTTCGTGTCAGCAGCACGCCTCTGACACCCAGATGTTGGAGCTTTCCATAGAACACACGCAGTTCTGTGTGATGAGGGGGCGGGGATAACCCGCTTCCCACTCATTGGCTGCTGCGCCGTCTCTATCATTCTTCACGCTGCGCCCGGAACAAGGCGAGGTGAGCAGCGTGAATCATGCAGGGCCCAGGACAGGAGGAAGAGGTCGCGGTACTGATGTTAGCGGTTACTATGGGCTCCATCCTCCTGTCCTGGGCCCCCTCTAAGTGGCGGAACTCCAGTGCCCGGTCGCAGCTGTGACCTCTGCGACCCTGGTAGTTCCGCCACTGATCAAGGAGCAGCATCCATTGTAAGTGATTTCATCAGCATGTGAAATAGATTAAAAAAAACCTCTTGACTTTAATATCACTTTAAATAAAAGGCAGAGCTTGATCAAACAATTGTTTTGTTGCTGTACACTGTATACATTGTGACATGTCGGGAATCTATTGCAGACTTACTGAAAGTTCCACATTATGGTTTCCCAACCCAGCTATTGGGACACTCGTAGTACGACATTTTGCCGTTAAATTGACTTCCTCAAAAACAATAATGGAAATGCGGAACGTGGAACTTGTGACCTTTCTCGTTGTTTACTTTGTGTTGTTCAATCTGAAGTTGCTCTCTATTTCATCTATGCCCGGTCAAATCTTATTGTCCTGACCAGAACATTATTTGCACTATGTTAAGACAATCAAATGTAAATTATTTAAAGCTGCACTGCCAGAAAATTACAGGTGAGATACACATATAGGAGCTGCTGTACCTGTCGCAGGAGTGGCCCACTGGACCTAAGTTAAAGCCAAACTTTGGAATACATTATTACTTAGTGATATAGTCCTCCAGACAATTATAAAAATACAAGTGTGGAGTGTGTGTGGAGACTGGAGTTGGGTTTTATACCAGTCAGGGTGCCCTCTATACTGGCGTGGAACCTCTAGCTATGCTTTAAGGGATAGCCAATGAGAGCAGGTAGGCTTCCTGAAGAAGTGTAGACTGACAGCCGGTTCATTGTAGAGTAAAACATCATGGAACAGGTTAGACCTGGGTGTCAGAGCTGTGGAGTAGGAACCACACTGGAAGAGGGAATGGAGAGGAGACCTGGGAGTATCAGGATACAAACCAGAAGTCAGGGCAGGAGGCGTACATGGATAACCGGGAACAAGTGAGAGGTCATTGCAGGAGGTGGACATGGATAACCAGGAACAAGTCAGAGGTTAAGGCAAGAGGTGGTCATGGATAACTAGAAACAAGTCAATGGTCAGGGCAGGAGGCACACATGGATAACCAGGAACAAGTCAATGGTCAGGGAAGGAGGTGGTCATGGAAAGCTAGGAACAAGTCAGAGGTCAGGGCAGGAGGCAGACATGGATAACCAGGAACAAGTCAAAGGTTAGGGCAAGAGGTGGTCATGGATAGCTAGGAACAAGTCAATGGTCAGGGCAGGAGGCAGACATGGATAACCAGGAAAAAATAATTGGTCCGGACACAAGGTGGACATGGATAACCAGGAACTAGCTAGAGAAGGAAATCAGAAAGTAGCAGGCTGGATAGCAGGGAGGCTTACTAGGGACTTAGCAGCTAACTTGGAAAAGTGCTGCTCGGGCAGTGAGCTGGAAGCTGCATTGAGTTTAAATAGGCAATAGGAGGAGGCCACTCTGATTGGATGCGGCCTCAACACTCAGAGTAAAATCCAGAAATATATACAGCCATGCACCATAGGGGCAGATGCAGCACTAAATTGAGTAAGGTAAGTAGTACTGACCAGCGGTTAACTTGGTCACTGACCTGACCCCCTACCTGTGATTGGTTACGGAGGAAGTACCACCACAATGAAGAAGACTTCATTCTGCTCGCTCTGCTTTCTCGTCTTGTTAGCAGATTCTATTGCCAGCTCTCTGCCTGGACCGCTATCTCACAAACTCAGCCCTGCTGTGCAGGTGGTTACAGTAAGGCAATATAAATCTTAAAGACATATACTAGCTAAAGATCTTTATAAAAGGAATAATCCTCTTATGGTTCAACTTTAAGGAGACCTAAATTCATAGTGTAGGTCCATTTTAAACAGTTTTGTAGCCACAAAAGAGGTAAAAGGGTGGGTATAGGTATTAAATATGTATAAAGGTATCTGTGTGCTGTAACCAGCAAACGGCAAGGTGCTACGGTTCGAGGTCCCAATTTACACCTACGCATCAAGACCCTGATGCAAACAGAGTTTCCAGTTGTGACAGAGTAGTGGGGTGCTCATTTATTCACCATGCTGAGGCCTCTTTCATCCACAACTCTCTGGGTTACTGGAGTATAAATTCCTCAGCTTCCCTCCCTTAGCAGCTCAGAGAGGCCAAACCCGATGAGACAGTGGTATGAATTGTTGGGTAGGAGGGGGCTTTTCAAGTCAACTTGTTGCTTTGCCTTGCAAGATCTAAGGACAGGTTTACTTTAAAATGTCTAAAAAGAAAAACGATAGACCACTCTTGTGTATAAATGGGGTTTATTTTCCTTTTAATAAGAAGGTAATGCTGTGCAAATCTTTTTGTTGTTGTTGTACCTGTACCTTAAGTACAAATTTTGGGAGAAAATACTTTTATGTGGCAGCGATAATAACTAGACACTGAGGACAGGAGGGATGAATGCATGCAGAGGGTATTACTAAAACAATACTTTAAGACATAGAATACTGTTAAGTGGAACTTCACCTCAGTCCTAAACTCTAGAGTAAGAGCTATTTCTGTGTAGATCTGGGTGGCACGAGATGAGTACAACCAAAGCTCACCAGACAGACAAGCAATATTTTAACATGGAAGGCCACAATGCTAATTATGGCAACACTGCGATATTGCAACAAGAGATGGCGCAGTGATGTTGCATCCAATGTTCACCAGACAGGCAAACAATATTTTAACATTAAAGTCTACATTGGTATTACCAGCAACATGGAGATATTTCAACGCTGGGCGGTACATTGATGGTACCATCAGAGCTCCCCAGACAAACAATATTTTAACATGGAAGGCTCCAACAACACTGGAATATTACAACGAGGGATGGTACAGTGATATTGGCCCCACCACTTACCAGACAGACAAACAATATTTAAATTGGAAGGCTCCAATGGTGGTAGCAGCAACACTGCAATATTGGAACTATGATTGGTACATTGATGGTACTCTCAGTGCTCATTAGACGGACAAACAATATTTAAACTGGAAGGCTCCAATGGTGGCAGCAGCAGCATTGCAGTATTGGAAATATGGTTGGCAGATTGATGGTACTCATAGTGCTCACTAGATAGGCAAACAACATTTTAACATGAAAGGCTCCAATAATGGTACCACCAACAATGCAATATCGCAGAAACCAAAATCATTTTGAAAACCCAAGTTTGGGAATCATCAGCCTAGACATAATGGATGCCCATTAGAGATGAGCGGATTGATCCACCCAAACCAAAATTTGGTTTGCATCAAACAGATTTGGAGATATTCTGTTTGATCTGCGGGACAGATCAGTTTGTTCTTCCTCATTTCAAGTAAATAAACGGGTAAAGTGACCATTTTGGAAGCTTATCATTTTGCTTCTGCTAGAGGACAACCTGCACTGAACCATAGATCTTCTGCCTTTTACTTGCCTTGAGGTTTCTAACCACTTCTGCTATGAGGAATATAGCAGGCTAAGCTTAAGAATCAAGGTGAAGTTCCATCATCACAATCTTTTTTGAGATACAAAGTCTCAAGTCATGGGAAATACTAGTTTTTGGGTAAAGGTCAAAGGCTAAATATCTCATGGGATGGTTTATGGTTGCCTGTGTTTGGAGGACAATAAGATAAAACACATAGGAAGACATAGGCCATACAGGCAATTGACATCACAGGTCTTGGACCAAACAGAAGGTCATCACACACGACGTATCTTCATCTCAGTGGACTTCAGGGAATAATAGAGACCTCGCCACTGAGACCAGATGACTCCACTGCCATAGGACAGGTGGGCCCCTCGCAGGTATGGCCCATTCAAGTTAGCCAGGTGGCAAGCTCGGTACCAGAACCCTCCAGCTGAGAGGGAGGCGCAGTTCTGCAGGTAGATATCACGGTCATTGTCGTATGTAGAGAACTTCATTCCATTGTGGTAAGTGAGAGAATCCCCTGCGGGAAAACAGCATGTCTTGAATACAAAATCTAGTAATTAGTGTGAATAGCCATTAATAGGTTGGTGTTTTTTTCTAATGAAAGAAAAGGACAGATAAGAGGAAAGGAGAAGAGTAGAGAGGAACAAAGAAAGAAAAGAAGAGTGGAGGAGATGTGAAATAAAAAAGAGGGGAGGGAGAAGGAAAGGATAAGCGGAAGCGATCGGAAAGAAGAAGAAATGAGAGGAGGGGAGAAAGGTTAGTAGAGAAGAGAGAAGAGGTGATTAAAAATAAAGCAGAGGAGAGAAGAAATAAGAAATGATATAAGAGTGGAGGTGGGGAGAGATGAGTGGAGGAGAAAGAAGAGAAGAGAGGGGGCGGAGAGGCTAGAGAGAAAAGGGGGAGAGGAGAAGAGAGAGGCGGAGAGGCTAGAGAGAAAAGGAGGAGAGGAGAAGAGAGAGGCGTAGAGGCTATACAGTAGAGAAAAGGAAGAGTGGAGAGGGAGAAGGAGAATAGAAAAAGAAATAAGAGTAGAGAAAAGGTGGGAGGAATGGAGGAGTGGAGAGATGTAGGAGAGGAGAGGAAAGGAAAGGAAGGAAAAGGAATGGGGAGGGGAAGAGATACGAGGAGAGGGAAAGGGAGGGGAGGAGATGAGGGGAGAGGAAAGATGAAAGGAGTTGAAAGAAAAGGAGAGAGAGAAAGTGAGATAAGAGGAAAGGAGAAGAGAGGGGGATGAGAGAGAGAAAATGAGATGAAAGGAGATGGAGGAAAGGAGAAGAGGAAGAGAGGAGCCGATGGGAGAGAGAGGACCAGAGAAGCGGTAGGAATAAACAGGAGATGAGAGGAATGAAGGGGAGAGGTGAGAGAAGAGGAGAGAAAAAGGAAAGGGGAGGTGAGAAAAGGAGAACAGTAGATGAGAGGGTAAAGAAGGAAAGCAGAGTAGAGGTGGAGAGATGAGGGGAGGAAAATATGGGGAGTGGAGAGAAGGGAAAGTGAGGGGACAGGGAAAGAAAAGAAAGGTGAGGCGAGGAGGGCAGGTAAGAGAGGAGTAGAAAAAATGGGGGGATATAAAATGTTCCTTTTATTTATTCTATGGATACATTTTCCATGTCAGTCTTTCTTACCTGCTCCACCATCAATGAACCCCTCCACGTACAAAGTGTACCCATCCTCCTCTGGGTTAATAGCGTTGGGGGAAAGGGCAAAGTCAGCGTACCTGGCGAAGGTCTTATTACCGTCAAAGTCTCCCAGGTCAACTCTCATCTCATACTTTTTCCGTAGAGTCAGCTGATAAATATTGTGCAGTCCTGGAAGAGGGAATGAGATGTGAGAGAGATGCTGTGCGAAGGAGCAATGCTCAATGCTATCTCTAGAAGGAGGGAGGAGTTTTGATTCAATACCACCTGGCTCTAGACCTGTCCCCGCAGCCAGGGCCGGATTTTACTCTCTCTGCTGCCCCGGGGCCAGGTTCCTCAATGTGCCCCCCTACCCGCCACCCCCCATGGAGAATGGCAGACCTGCAGACTGCATTCAAGTGATCTCAGCTACATCGCCGGGATCACTTGTACAAAACAAGTGGCGGCTTCCGTGCTGTACATATAGCTCTGCTTGCCCAAAGCAGGGCTAAATGCTGAAAAAAAGCAAAATACCGCAGCCGGAGTGGAGAGGGAGAGAGGTAATTGATCACTGTTTCAGGATCGAGGATCAGGTGAATATATCTTCATTATTTGCCCCCTAGACAAAAAGGAGCAGTTAACCCTTGCAGTGCATGGGCAGCCCCACTGCAAGGGTTACCTTTTAAAATTCCCGGAGATCTGCTTAAACTGTAGAGAGGGAAAATATGAAAACCATGACCAGTGTACATATTCACAATGAAAGCAGGAAAAGTCGTGAGCGCCTTTTAAACTCCGTGTCCTAAGCAGGAACATAATCTGCAACACTGGTATGCCATTTGCAAACAATCCTAAAATAGGTCAGAAAAACAATGAGAATTATCCAGAAAAAAACAAATTCAGGACTTCCATTCCAAGCCTGTCCTGGCAGCGAAATGTTCAGCTTGTCATCTCTGTGGAATTATTCTATTAAAAAGAAAATCCCATTTTGTATTCTATTTTAATGCCGGGTCAAAGCAGGAGAACGCCAGTCATTGTTTTTTGTTAAACTCTGCTTTGCTCATTCTTGTTTCTCACAGATATAACTTCAAATTCGCACCGAAGATACAACCGACCTCTTAGGCTGCCTTTGGCCTGAAAATCTACATAATGATGGATAATGATTTTCCATTTCCCCATCCAGGACCTTGGCTGCGGTGGCATGACTGACCCACAATTCCTTATAGGGAAGTAGATTTGATCTCCTACAGCTGCCTGTGTCTGGTGTAATGGGAAACATCACAATATGTCAAATATAAAGTGAATTTATTTTCTTCAATTGAGCATGTAGTCCACCGCCATTCAAGGTTGACCCATTGTTGGGAGTAGATGAAGGACAGAAATATGGCTATGACCCCAATGACTATTTTAAAAAAATCAAGCAAAGTCGTGGAAGTCCCCTATGCTCCCCTTTGCAGAAGTAGAATACATTGGACCTTCATTAACGAGCAGATAACAGCAAGATTGGCAGAGAAGGTTCTGCGCTTTTATCAAATTTGGAATCCGTGGATTCAATACCTACAAACACACTCATTCGATTGTCACTTATTTCTGCTTTAAAGTGACATTAAAGTCACATTTTTTTCCCCTCCCCCCAATGTTAATGTCAGCACTTACCTTAAATGATGTCTCTTATTCCAATCTTCTTCTTTCCTGATGTTTTCATCTGTCCCTCCAGCGGTGCGGCGGGTCTCCGATTCAGCGCTGACTCCTCTGTCCCTGCAGGCAGTTCCGACCCAGCTGTGTCTGCATGCGGGTGCACGCGTCCATAGGCTTACCTTACGTCTCTGCTCGTCTCCCGGCCGAGAATCCGAACTGTGCATGCGCCCGCCCCAAGATGCTTTGCGGCCGCACGAGCAGTTACGCATTCTCGGCGCGGGAGCGTGCAGCGATAACGAGGTAAGTTTAAACCGCTGTTAAAGCGGGTTTTTTTTAACGTTTTGCCTATATCTACGGAGGCTTTAGAACTCCTTTAAGCGATATGAGGAAGATTAATTTTTTCTTTCCCTTCAGGTCAGGAGTGGCTGGAACCTTCTCTGTTTTACTTTTCCTCCCCCTACCTACGCCCAAGGCCGGATTTCCCACAAGGCCAACCAAGGCCCAGGCCGCGGGGCAGTAGGGAGTAGAGGGGCAGCAGGGGTGTGGAATTCCTATCTCCCAAAGCCCGGGACATGCAGTTCTGGGTGCCGGGTGGGTAGTTGTTTTCTACATTTAGCCCTTCTTTGGGCAAGCAGAGCTAAATGTACAGCGGGGAAGCCTCCGCTTGTTTTGTACAAGTGATCTCAGTGATGTCGCCGAGATCACTTGTATGCAGCCTGCAGGTCTGCCATTCTGGTGTTTGGCGGGTAGGTTGGTGCATTGAGGAACCTGGCCGTGGGGCAGCAGAGAGAGTAAGTCCGGCCCTGCCTACGCCCAATACTTTTTCCCTTTTCTCTGCTTTCTTTTACCTTCTCTACTCTGTCTCTTTTACTTGTAAAAACTTTCCGATCCCCGCTACTCAACACAACAGAGTTGGGCTAACGGACTGTACCACTACCACGTTGTCTTATCATGAGCTGGCATCATTCAGTATATAGTTGTTCCTACTAGCTAAGTTGTAGTGATTGTTGACTGTACACGAAGTCTGGCTCTCTACTGTGTATTAAGTTTATTTGTTTATGCTTTATTGCCTGTTATGCCACTGTGGAAAACCAATAAAAACTCCTTGAATTAAAAAAGTAAAATATTCCGAAAAATTATTTTCTTGAATGAAATTCTACTGGTGTATGGATTAGGAATCCGAGCCATCAAGGTCAATGAACTGTACGATTCGCCACAGACTGGACGATTCTGCAGGAATTCATTCCGGGAAATCCCCCAAAAAATCACAGTTCATTGATTACACTTCACTGGACATATGTGAGCTCAATCATTTGGAGGGATGTAGAGGTAAAGAAGATGGTCAGGTGACTGCAATGTTGGGTCATTTAGTGTAAATTTGGCTAGAGATGAGCTTTAAAATGAACTTGCACACTCACCTAACCAGTACTCTCCATCTGCCCGACCAAACCCTGCCTTGTAGTCGGAGTAGCCACGGAAGAAGCTCACAGTTCCATTGAACCTCTTCTGGATTACCTGAGGGAACAGTTTAAAGACAAAAATTTAAATGGCAATGGCATAAGTCTATTGGTAAAGGGACCTGTATATGTAGTAAATCGGTGAATCTCACCGTCCATTTCCCATCGTCAGTAGTCATATCACAAAATACTGGCACCGCGCTGGATGGTCCTGATGGATATATAACATACACTCCATCGGCATCTGCCCCCAGCTCATGGACATCTTCACAGTCTACTGGAAACTGCACAGTATCCGAACCTGTTCAAAGAGCACAGAAGGGAATCCCGGGGAGTCATATTAATGCAGCTTCCCATACAACTTGCAACACAGTCACTGGACACGAACAATGTCATAGAATGTCGCTATTGGCCGCTCTCTTAGGGCCCAATAACATTTGCTATCTCTCATGGCTGTAAAGTGGTAATAGGTCTTCATTACTGGAATTCATGACCAGTAGAGATGTGCAAATATCTGAAGCGTTTGGCCAGTTGTGATTTGCCTGAAAAAAAAACTTGTGAGCTGATTTGGGATTTCTTTACTGGAAATCCAATTGAATCAAGAACCAGAGTTCAAAATGTGTGCAGAATGGTTTGGGAATCTCCTGGCAGAACTACCATATGAGATGATGGGGCCAAAAATAGAAAAATGTGGTCAAAGACTAGGGAAACCAGAAAAGTCAGCAGAAGCACCTAGCAGCCCTGGAAGCCCCTTACATGTTAGCCTATCTGAAAGAAATCGGGGAGTCGGTGGCTTTGGCAAGCTCAGACAGCAGCTATGGGACAGTTAGAAGCAATGCAAGTATGAGAAGTAGGATGAGCCAAAATTGTCCCCGTAAGAGTTGGGGAACCATACAAATCTTCCAGTGTTTCCCTGATTCAATCCTTCGGCCCCTAAGAGCATCTGTTTCAAGCCATATCTTTTTTTTTTTATCGGGATTTACAGAAGGACTTCAAGGAGTCTGGAATCTGATTGAAAGTAAATAAATATTCCATCATTGTGGACTGACACTGCGGACTTCCTCTGTCCCCAATTTATCACATTTTGAACTTGTCCAGTATTTCTCCATTCCCTTAAAGCTTCACCAGCATTGCCATTTAAGGAATTGTGGGGCCCGCCTGTATGAGTGGATAGTGTGAGTGTGATGGACAGCATTGTCTACTAGTTTTTAATTGGAGTATGGGTGGTAAGGTGCAATCTGTTTCAGTCATTTGTGATACTTTTTGACCTACCTAGAAATTAATGTATACATTTTGATAATTTTTGCCGCTCCGATCCCTGTTTGTAAGTACTGTAGTCTGAACCTTCTTTAGACTCGGCCAAAATGTTTCCTTACCGTAAGAGTTGGGCCCTGGCCATGACAGGAGCCTTGGGGTAACAAGGTAGCTAGAGCAGTAGGAATAAGTGAACAAAAAGCATGGGCTACTCATTCCAAACATTGTACCGAGGATACTGGCATATTACTAAGAGCTTTGGCCTTACAGGTGGCAGGAGCCTCGGGGTGGTAAGGTAACTACAGCAGTAGAGAAAGACAAATAGTTTGAAAAAGACTGAAGTTTGGATTTGGCTCAGAACATCCGAATTCATGAAATCTGGTCCAAATGTAACATCTTCTGAATTTCAGATTCAAGTCTAATGACCAGTAGGTGACGGGGGCAGATTACTTGCCAATAAATCTCCGTTTGGTGCAGGAAACTCCTGTGGGTGTACCCTGGCCTAACAAAATGCATAAATGGAAGGCAGTTTTGCTATCAAACGGTTGGTGGCGGGAAGTGACTTGAGGCATGTGTCTGCCACGTTGGGTGCCCTGGCTCTATGTGGGAGAGATCAGTACCTGAAGAGACAACAAGCTGAGAGAACATTGCAAGAAAGAAGAGGCTACCTGTGTAGATAGATGCTAGAAGAGTAGAGGTGGACCCTTGTATGTTGGAGTCATACCTGGGAACCCCTAAAGGCCTTCCAAGGTAAGGGGCAAGCAAGGATAGCTATCCCCAGAATGTGGAACTGGCAATAAAAGCATAGATTGTGTGCAGTTTGTTTCTGCAGCAACGTTTCCAAGAACTGTTGCAGTGAGTCTGGAAAGGCCTGGCATGGTTCCAGCACTGTGTGGTACTGTTACATAAAGTACACGCAGGCAGGTAAGGCTCCTTTTGCTTCAAATGAATGGGAAGTGACCACTTGTGGACTGTCGGTGATATAAAGAGCCACTGTAGAAAAACTTGAGCCATGAGTTATACAGTATGTATAAAAACATCTATTCACTTCTTTTCCATAGGTGAACATACGACTATTTCATATTTAGGCCTGCCAGCTAGTAGGTGGTAGGCGTAACAACAGACTGCCGAATGACTAAATGAGGACAGAAGTACCCTATTCTTTCTCACCTAGCAGTGATGGAACTCTGTTGTATTGTCATTTATACACAGGATGCCCACAAGCATGCACTTGCTATATTTCTTTAAAAACATGTAGCCTTTCAATGAATCCAAATAAAAGGAATGGTTATATTGGCATCATCTAGTTGCTGGGTTTGGGATGAAACTGAACTCAAAAAGTGAAGATTTGTTCTTTTATAGGGAACATCTAGAATCATCAATTCAATTGTGCCTAAACCTTTTGTTTGGAATCAATGATGTCACAAGGGGGGTGCAGCCCGTACCCGGGTGACACCATTTGAGGGGTGACACTAAAATGACTGTGCACGAAAAATAGTGCACTTGGGCCGAGATCCTAACAGTTCCGGGAGAGAGGAGGAGACCTGGAGGCCTACCTTAAGCCGCAGGTTGACTGTCCCCTCCACTCTCTGCCAGCGTCCATCACCATGAAGGCCGCCGGCAGGTATCAATAAGATGACCGCACATGCACAACGACGCCATCGCGCGCGTACGCGGTGACGTCGTGCACATGTGCAATGACGTCACGGGAGGGTGTCACCCGGTAATGATCCCGCAAAATATTAGAGTGTGTGGCTTTTTTGGGGGGCCAGGCCTTGTATCTTTCATTTATAGGGATGTTGTCGCCAATTGCTCATAGGTTTAGCTCCAGTAAGTTCCTCAAGGCTCCATGTTTTTCTAAAATAAAATGAGGCAAAGGACATTCTACTTTCCCTTTAAATAACTTGGCCATGTGTGCCCATGTGGGCTTCCATTCTCAGGTGCTTTAAGACAGATCGGCTGGAAACTCCTCTGTACAGATTTTCAATCACTGTTCCCTCTCTGCTTCCAAATGGATGGAGTTCAGTAAACGTTGTGAAACGTGTATCTTGTGTGGATTGGGGCCGGCTCTCCACGTTACATGGCTAGGCTTACATATTCCAATCTTTTGGAAACACAAGTCAGGGAGGCCCTGCCTGGGGTGTAGACCTCTGGCGAGATCAGGTGGACATCGGAAAGTCTGCGCCAGGAGTGATGAGACGTCGGCGCGCAGGTGGGGTAAACCCCATGTCACTGCTAGTTCAGGAGGAGAAAGAACAGAGTGTCACTAAGCTGACAAGGTTGGCTGCAATGGAGGAATTTGGCCAGAAAGTGACTTTACTCGTACAGATGTGAGCGAGAAGTATTGAGTCATTTAGATATCGAATTACTGCCCATTCCCGAAACATAACCAGCCGTGTACACACACAGCAGAGGGAAGTGATCCTCTGACTGCAGTCTGCTCGGAATGTTAATGTCACGCATGTTGGAATGTTTAGTTACAAATGAATTCGAAGAACACAATACGAAGGGAAGAAGGGACAGCGGGGTTAATGGTCGAAGAACGTGAGCCAGAAAGCCTGGATTTGGCTGCACTTGGGTTGGGAGGTTGGGGATTTGTGGAGCAGGAGTTTAGTTTAGCTACAGTGCAGATGTCACAATTCAAAGACATATCCAAGGTAAACCTGCTTTGTATGTTTGGTTGGGTTTGATTTTGGAGCAATGACAACCCAGCTGTATGCAGGGGTTGTTGGACACACTCACCGTTCTCATGATCCGGCTTTGAAATCTGACTTTTCGCTGAGTTCAGGACCACCAGCAGAAGGAAGAGGAGACCCGGGCGTCCTGGAACCTGCAACAGAGAAGTATCCCCCTTGTATCCCCAGCCACCATAACTCCAAGCCGTTCTTCCCCCCCAGTGACCCCTCCACAGCTGAAAAGACTTGGAAAGGGAAGAGGGGGGGATTTGGCAGGCACCAGCCCCTGGACTCCTTACCTCCATGCCTGCAGCCTGCAGAGTGTGAGCTTGCTATTTAAGGTCTTGTATTTATATGTTGCGTCTAGTCCAGAGAATCCCTCCTTTCTGAGCCTTCGCTGCTCCGGTTTTCTAATTTGAGGGGAGGAATGAGAAAAGGAGGGGGGGTGCAAATTGTGTGCACAGGATGCAGGGTGGCGAGTCTGCAGCGGACAACAAGACGCACAGGGAAAAGGTGGGAAGACGTAAACTGATGGACAAGGAAGAGAGAGAAAGAGAGGAGATGAGCCGGAATTTTAGGCTTCGAGCATTGGGGGCAATCTGCAGACTCCTTTACAGTAATGTATTGATCACCTTGCAGGCAAGCAGATAAATACACAACTGAAACATATGATTGGTTTTACCTGCCAAAGGGTTTGTAATTCCGCTCAGTCAGTCTTGTGATTTGCATACATCAACCATTCGGGTGGCATTTTTATCCCTGTTCTTGCCTTCAGAGAGCTGATTGGACAATGAATCTGCTTTAGCACCTCTGTCCAGTTAGCAGGACCATGATCCAAGGAAGCGAGGATTTGTTCTTCTTGGTTGTAAAACCATTGCTGTTAGGTGGATGTACCCTCCTCCCCTTAGTCTATCGGAATGGGAAATTCTAATCGACTAGGTCATCCCATATGAGAGCATTATCTATGGGAAAAGACATTGTCCTTCTAAATTTCATAAAGTCTGGCACCCCTGGGGTGATCCAAACTCTAGATTCAGTATCCTTAGGTGCCCTATGGTCAGCTGCATGACGATTTTAATGATCTCTATTGTACACTTTCGTGTTTCCCCGAAAATAAGACACTGTCTTATATTTTTTGGGGCTCAAAGGTCTTATTTTCGGGGTAGGTCTTATATTATTTTTAATGTACAACAATCCAAAGTTAATCCAAATCCAAATTAAATAATCCAAAATGGCAAAGTTAAGAATAAGGTGATCAGGGCAATCAGGGGTGCCGTACCTTTCCAAGAGCAGTTTGGTAAGAAGAATGAGTGAAACGCACTTTCATTATCGATTCCTCACAAGCGGATTGCATTCGGTATCACTCAGCCTGTGACAGGAGCCGGCGCTATAGAGGAAGCATCGGCTTATGCGGCTCTGCTCCCTCCGCTGCCACTTCGCTTCCTCTAGCGCCGGCTTCGCTGGCACCGCTGATTCTCTCCCGCGGCTCTTCAAGTTCCCCCTTATGCCACCACCGGCCCTGGGAATGGTCTCAACTAGGTCTTATTTTTAATGATCTCTCTTGCACACTATGTAGAGCCTTTGTCAATGTAATATTTTATGTAAGTTATTCAAATGAGACCGTCTTTGTAAATTCGTTTTTAAATTAATATTTTACTCAAGAAAAGGTTTTATTGACTCCTGTACATATCTGCCATGCAATGATTTATGTCTGCACCTTTTTTCAATGTCTGGATACAATTAACAGAATTATATAAACAAAACTGGCTCTATGGAAGTTGTGTGCACCACAGAAGACTCAGCAGCAGCGACTGATACCCTCTGTAACCCCCAGGGGTATGTCTTTGACAGTGAATATGTCTTGTGGGTGGCTGGCTGTCACACAGTTATCCTTGCTATATGGGTTAGTGTATAAATTGCAAAACTGGCTGACCCGAAGGACAAAACCACTCGCCATGCAAGGTGTAAATAATCGAGTCAATGTGTGTAAATGGTTTCACAACCTCCTTTGTATTTTGCAGTTATATATGTACATGGGGTCCTCCTTATGTGTTCATTACATATGGAGGGCCCATTCACACCGGATCCGTCGCAATCCATTGTGTTAACGGAAGGGCACCAAAAAATGAATGGGTGTGAATGGGGCTAGTGCACACCACTCGCGTTATGTTGTGTAGAGAAAAAAAAGGAGAACATGCACGCAACAGATCCAGTGTGAACTGGCCCCATTTACACCCATTCATTTTTCGGTGCCCTCCTGTTAGCATATGTTGAACTACGAATCACAATGCAACGGATCAGAAGGAAATCGGAAGGTACGACTGCAAGTGAATGGACTCTCCGTTGGCTTGTGATTTCCTTCCCATTTTGGTGTGAATGCATCCTGAAACATCTGTTTCCTGCTTGGCAATGTTGTCAGTGGTTCCCCTTCACAGCTCCTCCTGATTTTCTTACAATTGTTGTCCAGCAAGAATACTAACTACACCGTGATACATACTGGTGGCCTGTAGCAGGGGTGCCCACAATTTTTGTGTTAAGATCTACTTTTCAAATGACGAGCTTACATGAGATCTACCAACAAAAAAAAAACCTTCCTCGCTCTCTCTCTCTCTCTCTCCTGGCTGTCTCTCCTCTCTCTCCTGGCTGTCTCTCCTTGCTCTCCTGGCTGTCTCTCCTCTCTCTCCTGGCTGTCTCTCCTCTCTCTCCTGGCTGTCTCTCCTCTCTCTCTCTCCTGGCTGTCTCTCCTTGCTCTCTCTCCTGGCTCACCTTGCTGTATTTTGCTGTGTAAACGAATATTCTTTGATGTAATACATAGCACTTCAACCCCCAGTATCCTCCACAAAGGATTCAGGGAGCTTGGCTCAGCAGACTCAGGCTAATAGGTAATCATGTGTGCACAGCTAAATAAATATACCAAATTTGAATAAAGGGGCCGCCATTCCCCCCCTTCCTGATCTACCAGCATCAGCTCTGAGAGCTACTGCTAGATCACCATCTACCTAATGGACACCCCTGCTCTAGAGAATATGGTCATCCATCAGTCAATGATAATGGAGAAGTGGACACATATCATTCACATTAATTACATGATGAGAGAAGAATAAACTATTGCGGTCCATTGAGACCAATGCATTGTAGAAACATGGAGTAAATCACGGCTTTCATTTTGAATGGGACTTTTGTTGCAGTGTAACACAATACATGGTAACACACCAATGTACGCCATTGTGCACTGCGTCATATATACAGTGCAGGTCTGTTGTGGTGCACTGGCAAAATAACCATCGATAGTTACAAGAAGAGTTTTCAGCAGCTGATTTCATTGGCTTTGAATTTTGAACAATGAAAAGCTTTTGAACTGATTGTTTAGTTTCAGAGTTCCTTTCTATGTATCTGTGTTGGAGCTCATATTTAAAGTGACATTAAAGTAAAAAAATGACCCCCCTCCCCAATGCTGGTGTAAGGACTTACCTTAAATGATGCCTCTTGATCCGATCATCTTCTTCTTTCCAGTAGTTTTCAGGAGTCCCTCCAGCGCTGGTGCCGGTCTCTGATCCAGCGCTGACTGCTGTGTCTTCCTGTCCATGGTGCATGTGCCGGTGCATGCTGCCGGGCTGCCTGCATGGACTTACCTTGTGTCTCTTCTTGTCTACCACCCAAAGATCTCTACTGCATGCGCCCGCCCCATGATCCATTGCAGCCGCCTGAGAATCCTCAGATCTTCAGACGGGAGTGCGCGGGGGAGACACAGGTAAGTTTGAACCTTTTTGTTAACTTTTTATGTTTTTGCATATATATATATATATATACACTGTACACTGCTTGCCAGCCGTAGATATGTGCAAAACAAAAACGGAGGGTTTAATGTTCCTTTAAAGCAGACGAATAAGTCCAGGGATAGAGATGGGAAGGAGGGATTGTTGATGTGGAAGCTGTGAAGGGTTTAGCTGACCATACACTTTGTAGCGCCCTCTAAAATGTCGCTATTCAATTTAGAGATACCTGGACTGTAACCAGTCTAGATGCTGATTATACAGAGCTCTGCATTCTATAGGTGTCCCTGAATCTGCTGGATTGATTGCTCCTCCTGTTGCTGAGGAAAAGGGAGCCTTGGCATACAGTGAGGGAGGATCCACCCTCAGGTTATGACTATGCACCTGACCCTAGCCAATCCCTGAGTAGGATGACTCAGAGGCATGGTTGAGGGCAGGTAATAAAAGGTCTGGGGACACTGTGGAGAGCTCTCTTCCCCCTAGGGGCCTCGCCCTAGGAGGTCTGTGTGTGATGCGGGAAACTGGCCTGGGCCTCAGCACATGGTAGGTGCTGAGGGGCCTAGAGGCCTAGGATACACTGATACTTTGCTGGGCCCATACACGTGGCAGATGTTGGGTGCCTTGTTCTGAGAAGATACTACCACTAACCTGGAGTGCTCCTTGGCAGTTGCAGATGCTGAGGGCACAGAGATTCCAGATCCTGTTGCTAAGGAAAATACCTGATGGAAGCTGGGTCGGAAGGATAGTCCGCTTGTTGAGGGATACCGCAGAGGAGCTTATGCGAGCGTCCGTCTGGGACCCACAAGGGAGATCCCTCACCCTATTCCAGGTATCAGTTCACAGTATTATTACTACTATTGGTCCCTGGGACCAGATCACAGTGCTATTGGCCTTAGCGGTTGCTAGGGGAGAAAGCTGTTCTCTGAAGTAGTTCCAAGGGCATCCTACAGATCCTAAACCCTCTCTCTCATATTGAACTTACAAATAAATACCCTAAAGAGACCCTAAGACTCGAGCCGTTCTGTCCATGAGTGTCGGTGTGCTGTTGCTGATCAAAGGGGACCGGTAGCTGGAACCAACAGGTAGGAAAACCCATTTCATATTCAGCGGCTCCTTCGGGGGTGAGCGCTACATACTGTTTAAAGTAGATGGACAAATCTCCCGCAGTCAGAATACCCGGCGATTTTCCGATCAAAGGATGTCGGGCGGAAGGACCAATAGGGACCAACCACTGAGCAAATTTTGGCTGGTACATCAAAAACAAGACAAAATTCGCTCAGTGTATGGTCAGCTTTAGAGGTCTATGTATGAAGAGTTCTTGGGTTGGACTGATGAAGAGTTGCAGTGCAGAGAATACTGTATCATGGTGGAAGGAACGTTGGATACTTTATGTTATGGCGATCTCTTGGCTCAGCCTCCTATGGGACCCCTTCCCATCCAAAACTCAGCACCATAAATCACAAGTGACAAGTCTGGCTGAAGCTCAGATTCCTTTTAGACTGGGACTCCCCGGAGACATGGGGCATGGCCGTGACCCTGATAGGTGGAGGAACTCTGGACTGTGTCACTCTGAGTCCCAGACTCCCAGGTGAAGGGGGGGGGGCGGCTGTGGGAGAACTTCACACAACCTGCTGCAAGCTGCCCCCAAGAAAAATA